TCAGGCTTTACAGTGAGATGGAGCCATCTTATGTTTGATATGAATCAACTGTTACACTACGTACACACGACACAATCAGCAATGCTTCTGCTTAGAAAATAGAAATTTAAATCACAAAAGAAGTGAAATCATGAAAAGCATTGGCACATGGCGAGGAGCTCGTCCAGGCATCTGCGGCAGACACTGACATTAGAAAGCTGGCCTTGCATGCTGAGACACACAGGGAGGGGGAGCCGAGCAGAAATATACACAGTAGACTCCTGACCTCCAGCTGAGGAAAGGGCAATCTTCCACCACCAGAAAGAGGCAGCAGGTGTGGCTTTCACCTTCCCTCTCTCTGAAGCACTGCCCCTTCCATCAGCCAGGCAGAGCTTAGTTCTAACTGTAACAAGCACTGCCATCCAGAGGCCCGGTCACACCACTGCCGGGACGGGAGAACTCACAAGGACAACTTTCCGACACGATCAATAAATTAGAGTTTTCCACATCCCATGACCTCAGTTACCCCAAAGTAAAGAAACTCTGACATTCAAGCCAAATATTCATGAATACTACGTAGTAACTTTTAAAATTGACAAAAATATTAATTTAAAAAAAAAAAGCTGGGGGCTAGAGAGTTGGCTCAGTGGTTAAGAGCACTTGTTGCTCTTGCAGAGAACCTGGATTTGATCCCAGCACCCAGATGGTGGCTCACAACCACCTGTAACTCCAGTCCCAGAGGATCCAACGCCCTCTTCTGTCCTGTATGGCCAAGCATACACATAATACACAACATATGTGCAGGTAAAACACTCAGATATAAAATAAATCTAAGAACAGATATAAAATGAATCTAAGCATGGTGACACACACCTATAACTCCAAAATTCCAAAGGCAGAGGCAGAGTAGGGGGTTCTGAGTATTAGGTCAACACTGGTACAACGTTCCAGGATGGTCAGGGATATATAACAAAACAACCTTGACTCGTGGGTGGGAATGAGGTGGGGGCTGCTAGAAATAAGCAATATCTAACTTAAACAGGAAACATTCGCATGATGGAAAGGCTCAAAGCAACACATGCCAAAAGTAATCTATCCTCAAGACCAATAGGTCTACGTCTGACCATCTGGACCTGCCCCAAGTAGAAAGTGACAGCAGTAGGAACATCAAATGCTTCTACTCAAGCTCATCATCATGAATGTCTATTCAGTGTGCTCTCAACGTAAACTGGTATGGGGCGGGGGAGGAATGTGCCATTTCCTTACTGTCTTAGGTAGTGTTTCTACGGCTGTGGGAGGAAAGGGTCCACCTCCTAACACCTCTCAGGTCACTCAATCGCTGAGGGAAGTCCGAGTAGGAACTCAAGGCAGGAGCTGATGCAGAGTCCACACGCACTGCTTTACTGGCTGGTTCCCTATGGCGTGCTCAGCCAGACGTCATGCAGCACCGAGGAGGCTCAGGATAGCAAGAGTTTGAGGCCAATCTGATCTACATGAGACCCTGTCTCGCAGGGAGGGGGTATATGATGCCAGGGGGTCACATGTATATTCAACCACAGAGGCTAGAAGCCAACACCAGGCGTCTCCTTTCTTTGATTAATCTAGGCTGGGTAGAAAATGAGCTCCAGAAACTGTCCTGGCTCCACCTCCGCTGAGCTAGCTAGAAATGGGATGCAGGCTACCAGGCCATCTTTGTACATGGTGTTGGGGATCCAAACTCAGGTCTCACATTTGCACAGCAAACATTTTGCCAAATAAGCCATCATCCACCACCACTCAATTCTTTAAGTGACTAGTGTGTCATTATTATGTGCTTTATATATTTAAAAAAAGCTACTCTGTTAAAACCATTAAAACAAAAAAACAATGATAAATCAAACTCTAAAGGGGATCTTTTAATGAGTACTGAAGAAATGCTGGCCTCCCAGGTTCCCTCCTGCAGGCTTTAAGTTAATATGTATAATGATTCTGAGAAGAATCTGCTTTTCCCCCCAAACCTAATCTTAGGAATAATCCCATATCCAAAATAAACTGAACTCGGTTACTTGTAAACCAAGACGACAAGCAACTGGCTGGGCTCGTACCTCCACCATTATGATGTTTAAATGGGAAAAGGGTTATGGAGGAGACAACAAGGAGGCAAACACTGGAGTCTGGAGGTGGCAGTCAAGGTGAGGAAGCTGCTGCCCCGAATTCAATCCCCAGGACCCACATATGGAGGAAGCAGAGAGCAGACGCCCACAAGACTGCCCTTCACACTGAGGCGCACACCTAGGTAAACAACGTGGTGACGAGTTCTGAACACTCACTTGCTGTATGTCATGCCCACCGCCAGACCTACCAACCAAGATACCTCACTAACCTCGAAGAGATTTTTATAACAAGGGCACTGAAATGTCAGCTGACACCACTGCTGTGAACACGGTTAGATTGAGAAGATGCTATCTTTGCTCTATGTGCCTTAAATTCCACAGGCGAGTACTCAAATGTTATGATATACATCCATTCCATGGCACAGGTCCTTACACATCACCCCTCGCTCTAAAGAAAACATGACCCGAGATAAATACTCAGAATCCTTGAAGGCACAACACCCAGTACTTATTATGAAACAAATGTTAACCAAATAAATGTTTGCAACATCCTTTAAAAGTGTAAAGCAACTCTGCACTTCCCTACTACTGCGCTCCAGCTCCACTAACGTGACAAAGGGAGCCTAGGGTTTTAACAAGCACAGATCGGCAGCCAGTAAGTACAAGCCTGTGCAGTACATGCCTGTGCTGAAGACACATCAATGTGATTTTGGCTCACTGTTCAATAAACAACTATCTTCCCTTGTCTTTTTCGTCCTTCCTTCCTAGCTTTACTGGGGTATAACTAGGAAATACCAAGTGTACACACCTACGGTAATCCACGTGACACTTAATGTATGTGTACAATAGTAAAGTTACCAAACGCAAAAAAAAAAAAAAATCAAGGAAATGAACATCGCTATCATCTTGCATAGTTATCATGAAAATCTATTCCATTTTGATTACATCCAGAAAGGTGAACCAGTCAATGCCTATTTCAATGGCTTGTCTAGCATTCCTCAGCCTACACTTCCATCGATACAATGGAATGGGAAAGTAAGAATTTAAGAACATACCAAGGCTAGTACCATGAGCAATGTGTAAGAGAGCAGAACATTCACTTTCAAATACGTGTACACATTGCAGAAATAATTTTCATTGAAAAACTCCTTATAAGCTTGTATGTATTATGTCAGCTAAAGTATAAGTACACACGCTGCAATATTAAGAGGAAAGTATTGTATTAACCGATCAGGGAAGTTGTTGATTTTATGATTAAAAAAATAATCAACTTTCAAATTCTGAATGAGAAATATGCCAACAATGTACACATGTTAAAAAGAGCTTTCTTGGGTTATATTTTTCTTTTGTAAGGCGATAAATATTGGTTACGTTTCAAAAAAGCCAAATGTAAATCTACAGAATTCTCTTGTTTTGCAACACTTACTAAGTTAATTAGGTACCTCTTAAGAACAACATTTGCTCTCCAGCTAGTAATACTACTGAGACCAAAAAGCTTTAAGAGAAACAGCTACTTGGGAGCACGTCGTACACCTCTGATTATGAACAACTGGAAACCTCCCATCAGCAAGTCACAGGTACTACGAAACAACTAAAAGCTACTCTGTTCTCCTACTGACCTCTACAACAATGCAGACAGCATCTGCTTGGCATAGTCCAGATGCTGCCTGAATACCCTGCAGCCTAGAGCAACCTAGGAAGAGCCAGCGCTGCTCAACTGTTGGAGCATTAAAGGCCGAGTACAGAAAATCTAAATGGTTCTTCATGATGATGCCCAGCATCAGCACCACAGCGATTTTAACAACCAGCCACTGAAGCAGAATGCGTCCCCACAACACTGGCAAACTCACCTAGGAAGTCTGTGTGCATGCTTGTGTGAGAAGTACCACAGAGGAATGACTAGTCACTGACTCAAGCAGCTACCATCATAATTCCAGAAATGGTAGGTCCCTCATGTAACATACATGGTTAACTTACTTTCCCATACCATTTAATTTACTAGGGTTATAGTCAAACACGTTTTGTCATAGAAAATGACACATCTAAAATCTCATTTTAAAGCAAAAGAAAAATTATTTTAGAGAATTGGGGTCACAAAAAATGAAAATCACCAACAGCTATAGCAATTATCATCATCAGATACCAGATACCACTCAAGATTTATCTTTTTCCAAGTTGAAATCATTTTCAAACATTAAGCTTACAATACAATCAAATAAAACCTCAAATCTACCAATAAAGGTAACTTTTTTTAACAAAATGTGTCCCATCTAGCTAATCTATAAGCACACAGGTGAGCGCCTGCAGCACATCTGATCCACTGGCTATACTGTCTTTTTCAGTCTGAACACAGCCACTCAGAAGGAAGAGTCTCTGTTTTTACAATACCAGTAAGATCCTTCAATTAACTATGAAGGAAGTAAACACACACTTCCAAACAACTTCTCAGGTTTTCATCTATACATTCAAATAACATAAGGATGAAAGAGAAGGGGAACTACAAAAAACAATATAGGGAGAAGGAACAAGAAACACTAACTACCAGACCATATCTGCTTAAGGACCACACATGCAAGTGTTCCGCTAACAGCTCTTACCTTTACCTGTCAGCCTTACTGAAATCATCTTAACATCCATTCTCAGGGAAGATTTACTATGCTCCCATAGAAATACAGGGAGACATATTTAACCATAAAAGTAAATGTTATTAGTTTTTAAAACAGAAATATTTTAACTTTAAAAGTATGAACCAGCTTTTAAAAGTCCAAGTGCTAAGAATTACTCTTTTGTTAGCATCACTATTAAAACTGTGACACCAAGTCCCAGAGTCACGAACCTTAGCATTGCCAGAGGCCCACCCAGAAAGCACACTAACAGCCCCCACTGTCTCACAGCCATAGCGCTACTGTACTGCGAAATATGAGTCACCTGTATGCATCGTCTTCTTCAAGTCTCATAGCATCCTGATGGGGTGGGGGAAGGGAGGGAAGAGTCCAGCGGCAAAACTATAACACTGTGTGAAGAAAAACAGATTACGATAAGAAATGATGATGTAAGACAATTACCCCTAATTGAAGAGTATCTAATATAACTACCATCTCCAAAACATAGATAAAATTATTCCAAATTAGTCAATTTACTAACATTTACAGTTATTTGAATAATTTCTATTCATTTATCAAAATCAAGCATATAAAAATATAACAATCAATTATCATGAAAAAAGTTTTAAATGACCAATAACCATTCCAGGCATTTCTAAGCATCAAGTAAGCATAAGTAATATGCAGTTTTGTATAATGAATCTAAAGGAAATAAACCATTTTATGATCTTGTACAGTATGCACACACCAATACAACTTTTAATTTACTTTCCACAGTGACTTACTATCAAGGCAGAGGTAATAAAAGCTACAAATGTCAACATGTCAATCTACCAACATTATTTGTAGATTAAATTCAGAGACATTTTTCAAATGCAGTTATCCTGCTCATCAACACTCCCCCTGCTCTCCAAGCGGTCCACTTTAACTTTCTAAGAGCCCCGCCCTCCTACTTATGGTTTTCTTAAATTCATGACTGTTGAGACAATTACATACATGACGACCAGCGGGAAAGTGAGTGCAATCTCTCATGACTATCGATGGGGACCACACAGGAGCAGGAGAGAAGCAAAGACCACCAGGCTGAAGAATAACTCACAAGTGACACTGTGAGATCCATTGACTCCAAAGGAGCTGCTCCTGCTGGCCTAGCTCTCAAGGTGGCTGAACTAACTAATAAGCAAAGCCTATTGATTCCTAAGACAGGCTTGTGTGCTAACCTTTTTTAAAAGCTTTTAAATGTAAATTTTAAAAAATGATTTATTTATTATTTTATTGCATTGGTATTTGGTCTGCTTGCATGTCTGACAGGGTATTGGATTCCTCGGAACTTAAGTTACAGACAGTTGTGAGCTCTCATATGGGTGCTGGGTATTGAACTCAGGCCCTCTAGAAGAGCAGCCAGTCCTCTTAACCACAAAGTTTTTTAAAGAAAGTAAATGCAAAGAAACAACCCAACAAACACAAAGATGCTGTTAGTCATCAGCACTATAGATTGTGAGAAAGAAAAGACAGACCCTATCTAATCTAAATCATCTAAGCAAGCTGTCTTTTGATTCCCGACACCTATACTTTACACATTGATGTCCCCAGTCAAGCCCTTTCACAAGCCTTTTTCAAACTTACTCTATGTTCTGAAATCACCATCCAAAGGTTTTACTGTCTGAGTGTAGCCCATTATGTAAGGTAAGCTAAAAGAAAAAAAACATCTAGACTGAAACAACTTACATCAATAACTCAATTCCCAACAAGTAAAGCTAACTAGCCCAAATGAATTTATTGGTAGAAATCCAAATAATGTAATAAAGTAATAAGAAAACTAAGTCTGAAGGATATTTTTAGGCTAGTAGGATATACATATATAGCTTACTTAAAATCTCCATTTATTGTTGATAAATATTTTGTTTTTCACTTATTTCTCCTACTTTTGAACTTTTAGGTTGAAAGTCCAACTCTGTCCTCCAAACAGCAGCAAAAGGAAACACTCCACTGGTGAGTGATCAACTCAGAATAGGGACTGAATTTGTGAATTAGTTTTAAACTGGAAACTGCCTGTTCTTCTGAAATCACTGCCTATATATTCCTGATCTCCTGATAAAGGACAGCCTTTCTAGGTGAGACACTGCTGCTACCAAGATACACCCAAGCCAAGGAGCACCGCTTCTCAAGACAATGTTAGATTCACAGCAAGGTGTACGGCTAGGTACACGGATAGGTGTATGGCTAGGTCCATGGCTAGGTGCTTGGCTAGGTGCATGGCTAGCTTGTTGATGGTTAGGTGCATGGCTAGGTGTATGACTAGGTATGTGGCTAGGTGAATGGTTAGGTGAGTAAATGAACAACAAAAGTAATCATCACAATGTATTTGCTTCTAAAAATAACTGAATCAGTGGGATTAAATACTTTTACTTCATAGTCAAATTCTCTCCCCTCAGACATGGTAGGTCTTTAAACTTCTGTGGCATGGACTACAAAAACAACAGAGAAAGTGCCAATTCATTCTCTAGCTCTGAACTGTGTTTACAGCTGTACGTTAGCTCTTTACAATGTTCACCTGTAACATTTACGGTCTTCCTCACAAACTGAATAGCTTCAGCATGAACAGATGACACGAATCCCAGAGAAGGCCTTATAAGACCGGGCCAAACAAGGGCTCAGCATTCCTTTGGTCTCTTCATTTTGTTAACGGTTATCTGAGTGCTTTGCCTGCATATATATATATATATATATATATATATATATATATATATATATATATACATACCTGTCCATACATGCCTGGGGCCTTGGAGGCCAGAGGAGGATACAGGTTGTGAGTTACTGTATGGGTGCTGAGACTGAAACTAGGTCCTCTGTAAGAACCGCTAGTGCTCTTTCCTGCCGCTGAGTCATCTCCAGCCTCCAGTACTCTTTTTATTAAAAGCTGATAAAAACTAAAGTCCTATTTATTCACTACTAATTTCACTATCTAAAGGCAAAAACAAATTCTGACATCTTTTAGAAACACCGTGCATTAGCCACCACTCATTTGAAAAGCAGCCGTTAGCAAAAGCTGACGTTTACCTAGAAGTCACACAGCTTGCTCTTGGTTTATCACCTACCTACTGGAAACAGAGGAAAAGAATCTGCACCCTAAGACATCCACTGCAGATAATCCCAACATCAGTCGGCATTTTTGTAGTCTCACTTCGGATATGATTTTCTTTCTAAAGAGCCTTAAAACAGTCATTTTTTTATTTCTAAAAAATATATACAGTCAAATGTGTCCCTTTTCCCTCATAAATAAAAGTATTCTCAGAACTGTGGAGAACAACAGTAGACAATGAGAAAAACCATGCACAACCCATACAGAAGGAATTTGTCCTGGTTCTCAAAATCTTTTAGTGTATTTCAGTTCACATTTTGCCAACAGCTATGAACAATTCAAGAACTCACTGTAAGTGGTTCTGAGAACTCTTTATTTGTCTGAGAACTCTGAATAAACCTAACCTATAGCTTGTCTTCAGAAAGCCACAGGCCATGGAGCACATGGGTGTCCGCAGTCACAGCCCATCTGCAGGGTTTACAAAGGACACGGGGCAGCCAGCATGCACAGCAGTCAGGCTCTGGCAAGGACAGATCAACACAGAGCCCAGGGTACCCAACTTCAGGTACAAAGCCTTCCTTAACTGTAGTCCAGGTGCGAGAGTTAGCCTAGAAGAGGCTAGATAGAAATGGGCCAAGCAGTGTTTAAAAGAATAACGTTTCCGTGTAATTATTTCGGAGCATAAGCTAGCCATGTAGGCGGCTGGGGTGCTGGGGACGCAGCCCCGCCGCTCCTATTACTACACTTAACACCACAAGGATTTGTAATGACACCAACCTAACAAGTGTCTCTAACTCCAACTCACTAAGCAGTGGGAAGCTGCTACAAAAGACAGAAGCACCACCATGATGCACACCCTGAGCCTAGCACTCAGGAGGTACAGGCAGGTAGATCTCTCTGAGTTCCAGACCAGCTGGAACCTCCTGGTCACCCCCCCCCCAAAAAAAAGCAGATTTTTAAAACATCATCATATAAGGAATTTCAAAACCTAATTAGGTACCATTGTTATTAGGCTTAGTGCAAACGCAGTTCTCTGCTGCTCTCTAACTGCACCTAGGCAATCTATCTTTACAAATGCTTCACAAAAAATTTTAATCTATACAAAAAATATGATGCACCATGGAATTTAAAAGGATAATTTAGGTGGTTTCAAAGGTACCAACTGAAAATAAGCAAAGCCCATTAAGTATAAAGCATCTTAAAATTGGGGTGAGAGATGGCTCAGCAATTAAGTACACTTGTTCTTGCAGAGGATCTGGGTTCAGTCCCCAGCACTCAAGTGTAGGCTCACAGACAGCTACAGGGGCTCTGACAACCTCTGCTAACTTTGAAAGGCTCCAAGCAGCATATAGTACACATATATACATGCAGATGAAATACTCAAACATGGAAAACAAAGAAATAGAAAAAAGAAAAGATCTACAATTTTATCACTAATTAAAGCTATGATTCTCTAAAAATTGCACACTGTGACTGATAGTCATCCCCACACCTCCGTGCTCACTTATATGATTAAAGTGGCAGAAGAAAATAAAGTCTTTGCCATGTAGTTTTAGAAGTGCATTTTCCAGACTTACACTAGGTAAATTAGAAGGAAAACAAAGAAATGCCATTGTCTTGATACTTAGCACAGAAGAGGAAACAATCCATAGCTCTAATTCCCAATAAGATGATCAAGTGGTGTTACAAAAAAAGCAATTACACTAGCAGGGGACTGCAAGTGAAATCCAGAAAAACAAGAACATTTATCAAAACTCCAGAAAACAATCACAGCTCCTTTTTTTTTAAAGGAAAACCCAAAAGACTGTAATAGGCACTACCATGCCAACATTATTAATGAAACTACGAGGAAAAGCATATCTGCCGACATACAGCACACACCTACCACGCAGCTCACACGTTAGTGCATGCTAACATACCCAACAAGGAAGCAGTCTCACTTCCACTTTACAGATGTGGAAAGTAAGGGTCAAGGAGACTAACAGGTCAAAGGCCCCACTATTTATAAACTCCAGTCCTGTACCAAAGTTCTCCACACCTCAAGATGCTTCCCATTAAGTCATGAAACAACTGAGAAAATTGCAAAGATACAAGAATCTGTCAAAGTGTGATTTTAGACCCTGTTGTATCGCAAACACAAAAGAAAAAAGTCCTGAAGTAATAAATTAGCAAGTTAAAAAATTTTACCTCGGAAAATGGAGTATCAACTGTTCCGAAACTAGTAATAAAATTTTAATTCAAACATATAACAGACTGCCACATAATCCTTCTATCACCTTAAGAAAAATCCACCAAATGAGAAAAAAGGGGTAGGGGTAAGAAGCC